GTCCACGAAAAAAATCCGAAAATACCTTATACCTACCTATAGGGGAATTTTCAAAAAAATTTCGCCAAAAGGTACTTCTAATAGGGGACGGGTATTACTAAAATACGCTAACACCCACTAACACCCCCAAATTAAAATCCGAGATAGCCGATCGATAGATCTGTTCTTTGTGAATAAACAAACACCGAAAAAATTTATTTCAAAGATGATTCTTTAGGACTTTTTCGTTAGGAACACCCACTAACATCGACTAACACCCAAACAAAGTGGCGCAAACACCCAAAATAATATGCCAGAGTAATTGCCATCCTTTTGTGAGCCTATTAGATCACTTTTGAATCCAAAGGAAATCTCACCCTCACCCTCACGAAAAACAGCTTTCTCTGTATATAGTAGATTTTTTCATTCAGAAAAAAGCTTTGTGTAATAAATTTAGATGCTTTAGAAAGTCTAAATTTACTAAAAGTCTATTATACAAAAAGAGAAAGATTTCGGGACTCTCAAGAGAATGCTTACAGCCTCTGAACAGAATTTGTTTAATAACTTTTTCTGGTAAAAAACCGTTTCGCCAAAAGACAATTCGCCATGGCGAAATGTCATGTGTCGTTTCGCCCAGAATTTGTACAGTTTCACCAATTGGCGAAATGGCACATGACATTTTGCCAGTAAATGGTTAGAACACCGTAAATTGTTATCAGCCCCAAGTTAACTTAGGAATCTCACTGATTCTTGATCCCTAACTTGACTTAGGTATCGGTATTTAAATTATGATAATACATATGTAAAGAAAATATCGCTTGACTATAGGGAAAACATTTTAAAGAGGAAAGAAGCGGAAAACTCATCCGACTATACTTTCTTTATCTCTATAAGTCAAACTTATATGTATCTTTTCTTCCTGTCTATTTTCCGTGTTCTTCCTTATCTCTCTCTATCAGACCATGGAATATCGAATTTGTTTTTAGTTTGTTTAGTTTATTTGAAAATATATATTTCGAGGGAGG